TTTATTGCTCTGACCGCACTACGGATTCGTCATTTAACGGTTCCTTGAAAGGTAGTCAACTTGAAACGGCTGAGCCTAAAATAGTCATCAGAAGGTTTCACGAGAATAGCCTAGTCTCTAGACGTCCCGCATCTGGTTCCCTATTACTGGGGAGGCTTTGCAAATCAACATCCAGCTTGGACATAAGAACAATGTCGGTTGTGTTCTCTGCACAGAGTGCCGGTTAGGTTTGTGGCAGAGAGCTGACCGTGACTGTGTGTGGAGAACACATTGCTTCATGTACCATGCGTAACTGATATCCTTTTGAAATACAGCCAGTAATGTCTATGGGGTACCATTCCAGGACTGATCTAAGTTCACAACAGTCCTGCTGTAGAAAAGTCGGCAAAGCGTACTATTACTTCAAATCTGTATATTGCCCATTTCCAACTGAAAAGCCGTATAAAAATATTAAAATTNTTGTCTACCTCTGTCGTGTATACCATTTTGCCGACTAGATTCTTCTGGAACAAAGGGAATATTAAGACCAGGGACAGGGTGAACTTTGATCCATAAAAGCAAGGGTTAATTATTTAAGGCGGGCCACAGGAAAGCTCGGTTCAAGAGAAGGTAGTGGTCTAGCGCTATGTACGACAGCTAGAGACGATCGTTTTATTGCTCTGACCGCACTACGGATTCGTCATTTAACGGTTCCTTGAAAGGTAGTCAACTTGAAACGGCTGAGCCTAAAATAGTCATCAGAAGGTTTCACGAGAATAGCCTAGTCTCTAGACGTCCCGCATCTGGTTCCCTATTACTGGGGAGGCTTTGCAAATCAACATCCAGCTTGGACATAAGAACAATGTCGGTTGTGTTCTCTGCACAGAGTGCCGGTTAGGTTTGTGGCAGAGAGCTGACCGTGACTGTGTGTGGAGAACACATTGCTTCATGTACCATGCGTAACTGATATCCTTTTGAAATACAGCCAGTAATGTCTATGGGGTACCATTCCAGGACTGATCTAAGTTCACAACAGTCCTGCTGTGGAAAAGTCGGCAAAGCGTACTATTACTTCAAATCTGTATATTGCCCATTTCCAACTGAAAAGCCGTATAAAAATATTAAAATTCACAGACGATAGTAGTAGGAGTGTTCGTGTGTGTGTGTTAGAAGGAAATAAGGATAATGTTTTTACTTAGGAAGAAAACAAGTATGGTTACTCAAACATAATTAATGCGCCCCTGTCAAAGAAATGGAGGCTAATAAAAACCATGTTGTGATCCCCTTCGCAGGGATGATGGCTCTTGGGCCAAGTCCGACGAAGAAAAACCTTGTTTCTTTGCCCTGCACATATCCACCTCTTCACTCCGCACAGCGAATCTAATGCCTCTAGAGACAAATGAAATCGAACACGAATTAATCATTCTTTACCCATTTATCTTCCTCCTAAAGCATTTTCACCTTCCGACATTAAACACGTAGTTATCTCCCCCAGAAAAGAAGAGAAAAGTATGAAAATATTTCTCTTTACTTCTTTTTCATAAACCAACCAAACCCGTCAATCTTCCTTCATGCCACCCCCTATCAATCCTTACCGTAACTACCCCCTATTAAAACTCTAATACCCTATCATTGAATCCGAAGGATCTATTCCGAGTCACCAGTTTGGATTTAGGTCCCCGTACTTTACAATCCATTAATGTCATCGCCTTCTAGACGTCATTTCATCCTCCAGCAGTGTTCCTTGATATGGAGCAATTGCCTTTGACCCACGGTTCGGAAGCTGAATGGCACCTTACCCAATACCTACTACCTAATCGTAAACTCGTACCTGCCTAACCGTTCAGAGTTGGACAGAGCACAGCGATATCTTCTGTCTACTTACCAAAGCTGGTGTCCTACAAGGGAGCAATCGTGGACCTCTCATTTACACTATATATACTGCTGACACTCTTATTTTTAAGAAACAATTCTCTCCACTTTTGCTGCCGTTACAGCTTACCTTACCATCGAAACTACTTGCCATGGACCAAACGTGGAGAACTAAAATAAATGCGAAGAAGATCCAATATATTAACTTTGTAGTAAGATGTTACTACCACCTGTTTATTTTAATGGGATTTCACTTCTCCCCATCCAACACTTAAGTTACCTGGGATTTCACCGGGGTAAACGACTTACTTGGAATCCGCAAACAACACTAAAACGAAAGAACTAAACAGACGTTGCAAACTGTTATAACCATTAGTCGATATGCAATCCAAACTTCCACTTAAGTGCAAAAGATTGATATGGTTATAGAACCTATGTGAACTTATGGTATCAAACTCTGTGTTCATCCAAGCATTCCAACTCCCAAAGCAACCTAAGATTCCATTCGAAAGTTCTAATAAAAATTTTTTACACTCGTATCAAACTTCATCCTTCACCGAGACCATAATATTTCTTTTGTTCCATCAATTCCTTTCCACAGATCTCAATGCCTTGGTCATTTGCTCAGTTCCATTACAGTTCTAGATAAACCTCCCCGACTAATAAGCTGATGGCCACATCGTGCTCTACGTAGTGATGAAGAAAATAGGCATAGTGAAGTCATTATTTACTTCTTCTATGTCAAAAACTTGGGTTGTCTTTTTTTTTTTTTTTTTTTTTTTTTTTTTTTTTTTTTTTTTTGTTAAAGCATTTTTACAGTCGTAATTGACTTACTGTTCTAAAAATCAATACAAATAAAAAAAGTGGTGAAGTACAATATTCCTGATGGATGGAATGCAATAGGCTCTTTAGCCACCTCAGTAATCCATCATGCGGTCCTACAATAACAATGCAAGCAATATCGCAAGATAGATAAAATAAAACAATTCGCGGGATTGGTACATAATGAAAGGTATACCTAAAGTTACCACACGATTTAAATTGCCTTAGCCAAATGTATGATTGTCTCACTGTACACGCTTTAGCATAAACTGTCCTGAAGGAAAATAGGAGCCGGAATTATATCGTAAAGAGTTTCAAAGATCTGCCGTCTTCGATCGCTTTTTATTCAGCGCCCCGTCCAATTGAGATTCAACATTATGATTATGTTAATCGTCCGGGTACGAATTCGACAGAGAAACGCGCCGCGAATCCATTGTTTCCTTCGGGAATTAATCACAGCCGACACCTGTTATTAAGGGGGTTTCTCTCCTAATCCCATTACTCAGGGCGGCCATGTTTAATCGCGACCCGAGAATCCCAACACCGTTCAGACAATAGATGAGTGCTCATCGCTGGATAATTTTTTAAAAACACCCCATGAATCATTCAAGATGCCGCTGAGGATGACACATAAATCGATATGGGCCTTTTAGAAATGTACCTGTATCCGTGGCGTTATTCGGTGAAAATGGGTTTGATTTCTCAATCGGTTTCAACTGAAGAACTTGTACCGTTCCTCTTTCACGGAAATTTAATCATATATCGTGAAAAGTGTGAAAACTGTAATTTCCGGTGCGTATCATTCAGTAAAGTGAGGTTTAAAACAAAATAATTAAGTAATTTTCATGCAGGAATTTTTTTTTTTGACTGTGGCTTCCGACATCTTGGTCATTTCAGCCCCCAACTAAGTCAATGTTCTATTTACACTTTCAAACACTATATTCATACAAATAAATACATTCATACACATAAATACATCCATACAATACTCATTCCGTTTGGTCGGTGGAGTACTTGATATTCCTCCACCGATCCTATATTCAAACTAGACTTCAATCTAGATTGGGGTCGATGGAGTACTTTTATAAATATTCCGCCATCGACCCCGAACACACACTCTTACGCTTTCATCTTTCGAGGGGTGATGATGACGTTATATTTCACCCTCACCCCTTGCCATTCACGCTAATAAATACATGCACTCAGACAAAACATATAGACACACAACACATAAGACATATTATATACAATAAAACAAAATCAATTACCCTTAAAAAGGGGAACAGGGGACCCTGAAACTCGCTGCAGTGCTCGAGTACCATCTTCAGATTGGATGGCATGCCTACACGCTTCCAGTATGTGGGACACGTCGCGCAACCTTTCTCTGCATAAGGGGCCCCTGCGCGGGCTTTGGCCCAAGAGCAGGTGCCCGTGTGTCAACCGTGTATGGCCTATTCTTAATAGCGCAAGGAAGATTCCTTGTTTCCGGCTCATGTTCTCGGGGGGCCATTTACGAATCGTGCTCTTGACGCGCAAAAGCCTCTCGGACAACCCGGCCTACTGACGCTGCCATCTTTCTTTTATCATGTTCTTTACTGCTAGCTTGGTGTCAGAGGGCCTGGTCGCGTTGGTCTGGTCTGGAGGGTAGGACGTCCCGGCCTTTGCCGCACATTATTGTTATTATTATTGGTGTGTTATATTGTATGTAATGTCATCATAAATTTGCCTTATTTTCATTACAATATCTAAAAGTGTATATTGTTATTATTACTGGTGGGTTATATCGGATGTAATGCCAGGATAAATATGTTTTATTTTCTTTATGATAACTATAAATGTTAATTATTACCAATGTTACTACTCATTTTATTGTAGACAATGCCAGGATATTTTTTCTCTCTTTACAATGTATATTATTATTACTATTGTATATTATTGTATGTAATGAAAGCCAGCCACCATCTGTATGTTTGACACTGTAACATGTTACAATAAATCAAATAAATAAATATTTTATGTACAAGTTATCAAAATCAACTTGTTTCTTTCTAAATACAACCCTACATTTTTTGCTGCATATTATTCAGGTAAATCTTTTTCTTTTTTTAATAAAAAATCAATTCGATTTCATCAAAATCGATTAAAGATTTCTCTAGACACAGTTTTTATTTAAATAGTACAAAAGTTCGGATTTTTTTAATTTGTACTCTTCTTCTTTCTCAACTAAGCTGTTGTATGGCGGTGTTTAAAAAACAAACACAAAAAAATTAATAATATTTACATAACTGTCATACACAAAAAATCAGAAAAGTAAAAAACCATAAACTAATCGCTTCGGCGATCCATAAATTAAAATTGGAACGATACAGACAAGATTAGTGGGCCCCGTGATAAGATGACACGCAATTTTGTGAAGCGTTCCACATTTTTGGGCGTCTTTGGCCGCAACGGTTAAGGCGTTGACATCACTCATCACGGTCACGGGTTTGAATCCGATAAAGCACTCTATCAATTACACTACATGCTTACTGTAATTCCTGTCGGCTATTTAATGGCTGTAAACTTCCATAAACTTGATCCCTTAAACCCTTAAATGTAGTTAACATGGGTTAACATGGTTCCTAAAGAATAGGTCTTCGGTTGCCTTTCTACCGATTTATTCAAGAGAAACTTTACTACGTGAGCAGGACATCCATCCAGGTGGAACCACTTGGCACTATGAACTTCAAAAAATTCAGGGATGATGTCTTAAAAACCCGATGAACCGTTCACGATTTTAATTTTAATTATAAAGGCATGGTCCTTTAAACCCACGTCTGAAACTTGGCTACATAAGGGGAGAAAACAAGTCAAAAAGGCGACCCTTGGTACTATTTATTTCATTACTATTCGATAATGATATTTGCGGCAGAAAGAAAACAAATAGATACTGTATAAAAAAAAATAAACAGGGGGTATCATTTAACTTCTTTTGATAACTTGCATTATTTGCAAGTCTGGTCCGTACGAAAAGGGATACCCGATATGAACAACGTTGTCAAATTTGAGAGAACGTCTGACAGACTGTGCATTCTTAATACAAAAGTAAAACATAATACTAACAATGGTACAACTTTACGCTCTAGCAGAACAAGCAAAAGAAAACGATAAATTTGAAGATTTGACGTACTCGTTGAGAAAGAAAATAATAAAAACTTGGCTTTTAGGTGGCATTTGCTCGAAATCCGGACCTGATTTTTACTTGCTACTTGTTGAAGATGCTGTTAAAATATAGTATTAAAGCCATAAATTACCATAATAAAAATAATTATAATTAAGTATTCAGATTTGTGATTGAATTGATATTAATTATTACTAAATTCACTAATTTCGTGGTCCGCTTGACCAGGTTTTTAGTTGAGATAAGCAATGGCAAAAAGGAGGGAAAATTCAAAAGGTGGGGTTGAGATGGGAAGTTAGTGTCCGAGGTCACGATAGCTCAAGTGGTAGAGCAGCGGCGTATCTAGCCGAAGATCGTGGGTTCGAATCCCGTTCGTGCCATTGACTTTTTTTATCTCAACTAAAAACCTTAATTAATTGTAATTAATTATTACGTTGGGTGTCGAAAACGTTAACACTTATTCTCAAATGAAATTCACGTGTGCATTATAAGGCATTTTTACAATCAAGCTTCTATTTTTCATAAAACTTTACGTTTTGGACTAATTTAACCTAACTTCCGACGGCTTATTATTATTATTATTATTATACGAACTTTACCTTACAGTGTTGAGCGCCCTGTTGACAGACCTCCACGCATAGATCATAGCTCAATATCTAGTTTCAGGCTTTTTTATTAGCCTAAATAATTTAATAATGTCTCATCAGTAATCAATATCATTATTTTCACGATTAAGGTTTTTTCATTAGTTACTTCCTCATTACTTATCCTTAATTAAGAATTCAGTAGCGTATATTATGTTCTAAGGTTGAACTTGCTAGAATTTACACAATACTATTTTTTGCCACTCTCAATAATTTCGTATCTTTTGAGTTAGAAATGTCCAATAAATACACAAGACATCATCCTTAGTTTTGCTGGTTTTACCGCAGCAGGTCTTTTGTAAATTTAAGTCAGTCTTGGGATGTTGCTCCGGAGGCATTATCTCCGAGAACAGCAAATAATAAACAAAAGAAATGTTGATCATGATAAAAATTGTATTGTTATATTTCTTCCTTCTTATTTACCAGTTGGTAGTTGTACAATATATGTATAAATTGTGTGCTTTGTCATACATCGGAGCATTAAATACAATCACCAATAGGTGATTTTACGTGAGGTCAGACCAATTTACAATACTCTTTTCAAATTTTTCACAAAAAACGTTCCCATATTAACATATAAAAAAATCCTACAGGTTCAAGAGTATGCTCTCCACCTGTAAAATAGAAGTAAATCATACTTAGAACCACTTAACTTAACAATTTATTGAAATTTATCATTCAATTTTAATTTCTAAGAGGAAGGTTTACAAAAAGAAGAATAAGTAATATTTTTTTAACCGCATAATATTGTGAAATGTTTCGCCCTATAGCATGTCTCACGAATATACGAAAAAGTTATATTTTACGTAAGCAGTTGCATCAATGTTTTGCGGGCAATTCTATAAATAATAAAAAATACCCAAAGGGTTTGTTATATTATTTGAGATAATCAGTTTTCTTCGGAACTTGTTGGTAAAATAAGAATAGTGTTAACTAAAAGATTTAAAAAAAATTCATTTTAGGAATACAACGTAAAATATAGGTTATAGCTTGTATTTTTGTGAAAAAATTCACTGCCATATATAATTTTTTTATAATCAAAACATTTTAATTGTTTAATTTGTGTTTTGTGTGTTTTCAAAAAAAGACGGGCATTCATTACACAACTTTATTGTTGACTCAAACAAAAAACAACAGTTGACTGACCCAAAATGCAACGGAAAAGACACTTTTTATTGAAAGTGTCTTGTAGAAACTTTCAAGAACTAAATGACAGGTTTCTGCAGCACTTATTTCACCCATATTGCTCTGACGTGATCAACATGAATCATAGAGAAATCTCCAGTTGATTCATAAATATGCCATATGAAGATATTTCAGAATTGTTCAATTTTCCCGATTTACTTTATGTTTATATTTTTCATTTTGATTTATATATGTGTAGATGTCTTGGAGGAAAAAGGCACGGTCGTAGTAGTAAATTCTGGATAAGAAATATTAGAAAAATTACTTGGTCTGTCATATTATGACGTAACTAAACGACCAACAGCTAGGATGGTCAGTCCTGAGATCTATTTTGACCAAACCGCTCTCATCATCTTCGTCCTTTGAAAGTCCTTCTCGGGAAGTGTACCTAATAACCGAATTGGACGAGTTGCGTATAAAAACGGGCCTGCTCTGTGGTCTCCTTGGAATGAACTGAACTCATTTTGTTAAAGGACTGTGGCCAACGAACCGTGACTCCCCCATTCCAGTTCACATCGGCTAACTTCATTGAAAGAGTCTGGCTTTTATCATTCCATTCTTTCTACGAAACGATCAATAGAAGAAATTTCATTTTGGTATAATGAAAACAATGAAGATGTAACAGCCGAGTTTTGATTATTTTAAAATATTTTCTGTGATGTCATGAATGAGTATTCGATTCCCAGTTTTGACAGTGAAAAAATATATGGTCCACTGTTTGATCTTTCACAGGAAAACACGAGCTCGCTGCACTTGGTAATATTTTAAAACTATGCCGATATTCTCATCCTTCCATGATCATTTTGTTTCTAGGACATATTTTAACATGGATGAATTAGTCCATGTTGCAATATGAGTTCTTTGCCTGATGTCCGGAATATATTCTCTAGTATCCTTTTTTGTTTACCTCCACTGGATTAGAGAACATACTGGGATAAGTTTAAATTTTCCCTCTTTAAAATTTCGGGATGTTGCGACATTTTTGGCGAGGAGTGTATATAATATTACCTCTGCAGTTGGTCCCCCCTTAAAAAATAACAATAAAAAAACTCAGTCATGTATAATAATTGCGGAAAATGCGAAACAAATGTTGATATATATTATGTACGCTAGACAGCTATCTAAAAATTATGATTATTGACTCGTTTTACGCCTGAAACCCTTGTTATCCACCCCAACGCTTGGGCGAGTTCGTAGGGTTGAGCGTAGAATTATGGTTATTTCTACATGACTCCTTTAACAATTATATACTTTGTTTTATGATTCTTAATGGCACATAATTTTTAAACACCGGATATGAGATAAAAAAGTCAATGTGACGGAAGGGATTCGTGCCCACGGTCTTCGGATCTGTACCTCCAAGTACAACTGGGGGACCGTGGGTACGAAACCCATCCGTGACATTGACATTTTACCTCAAGTTTTATGTTTGAAAATGATTATATTTCAAAATTGAATTGAAACCGATAAAAAAGAACCATTATTTAAATACCCGTATCTCGTGTATATTATATTTCTGAAATGTTGTTGCCATTTTTATTAAAATTGTTTAAATTAGCTTTGAGTTAGGTTACAAAATTTCAACCTTCACTTGTTTTTAATTTAAATCTATTTTAGTCAGTTGAAACCGAAATCTAAGAGTGCTAATTCCCTTGGTAAAATTCCCTCTTAATCTAAACTCTTCACCTTTGCATTAGGCATTCTTTTTCCGTGGCATAATTTAATTCAGAAAATGGAAGAACAGGCTGAGAAAAGAGCTCTGAATAAATTAAAGAAATTAATTTAAATTTACAAAGACCCCCTGAGTCCGGCCATTTAGTATTTATAGGGGGAGGTTTTCTGAAAAACCTGCCCCTTTTTCCCCGTACCGTCACTCGGATTAACCTCCCTTGCATATTCTATTAGCGGAATTACAGGAACTTTCAAGCCTCTTCTACCCTCCGTCCCCATCCGGCTTCTATTATTTCGAAACCGTTCAAAGGTTAATGAGCTGGAAAACTCCTCCGCTTTTACTATACAACTTTTCGTTTTAGGGCAAACGGTCCTGCCTTTTAATACATTTGGAAAAGGTCGGACACGCTTTTATTTTATTTCGCTTTTTCGAACTTGCCCGAGGGTTTCAACGCGATTCCGCCCGGGCACGACGGGCTTGCGTACTGAGTAAAAGAATTGTTCGCGGTTACAAAGTTATTGCGGGCAATCTTCTCGGGGCGATTTATTTTTTTACAGAGCGACTCGCAAATTCATCAAGGAGAAAACAAGAGCTTCAACATTTCTCCAGGGAGGCCTTTTTATATATTCTGAAAAAAAGGAAGAAAACACAAGAACAACAGTCGGCCGTGTACTCGGCGGCTTGATGAAAACACAAAACGGAAGGACGAGGAAGGATTGGGTCGAGGGCAAGGTTGGAATATACTTGATTAGCCTACCTGGTGAGGTTA